TAGATATGAAATCCAAGAGATACTTCTTTCTCTGTTAATCTTGGAAATTATAAAGAAGCTCTTGTATGAAAATTAGTAGTTCAGAGATAGTATAACAAATTTAACAGAAATACAGAATAAAGAACGCATAAACTCATAACCAGTTGGTTTGGCAGAATGGCATACCTACTGGGTTAAGAACACCACTTAACCCTTGCATAAATTAAAAAGATTGCTTCATAGTTTGCAGAAAGAATTTATGAGTCACAAAGTATCCTTCTCTTTACACAATGTATCCTTTCCTTACAATTTGCTGTTGTACAAATAGATAAATCAAAACATCTTTCAATCATAGGAATGATAGGATTCAACTACTATTGCAGCAAGCAAGTATTAAATTAATGGTCTCTTAAATTTCAAAGACAATCATAGGAAAGAAATACAAATAAGCACTCAGTATAAATCAGCAAGAACGACTCTAGATCAGAACTCTTACTATTGTAGATAAGTATGACTCCAATTTTTGTAGATTTTGGTTAATAAAGTTGATAGCATCTTGAACTTCACTATCTGTCCACGGAGAACCATCTTGATTTACTTCTGGAAGTTTCTCAAACATTAGAGGCCCTTAATAGCTTCCCTCTACAGAAGAGTCTTTCTGCACAGAGTTATCAAAATAAAAGCAGGTGTAATCAGCAAGCAGAAGCTACTTGGAGCTAAGTAAGAAGTAAAACTTGCAGGGATGCTGTCAAAAGCTTATCTTCTAGGTGTTTCAGATGGGATTGACAAGGGGTGAATGGGTTTGGACATAAAGTAACGGCAACTTGGAAAGTTACGATGAGAGGAATGTGACTTGGTGATGGATTCACTATCACTAATGTCAGATCGGGATGAAATCAAGCCCTCTCCCATCCCTAGCAGTTGATGCTCCCTGTAATAAATTTATCGGCATTGGCACAAAGAATTTAAGTGAGATAACTCGTCAACTGAAAATTAGTGAACACATAAGTATACCTCCATTGTTGGTGAGAAGGATAAAGGCCTCAAAACTGCATCAGGGAAATGAAAAATATTAAATATTAGCCACTAAAAGATTCAATATATAGAAACACAACAAATTCACCACATACGGAAATTTAGCGAGGCCTGATAAAGCAATAGCAATTACACATTTTACCACAACTAAACCGGGACTACAAAAGGGTAATATATCATAAAAAGGTTATCACAAGGTACAACAACTTGTCTAAGAAGAAGAAATGCAGTCAAAATATCAAGCAGAGTTCAATAAAATGAGTGGAGAAATATGAGGACATGTTAAAGTAGAAGCAAGATTTTAGAGTAAAATTAATGGACACTAAGAATTAGTGTGCACCATTCATATGCAGAATGTAAGAGCTGTTGAGGGCTTTAGGTAAATGCACATGTACTTATTCCAAGTAAAATAGATGCATAAAAATTTTAATATTCATAAAAAAAAAATCCAATTATGCTAAGTAATAAAATCATTATAAAAATTAATTCAAACAACTTCAAGAACTAATAATTCAAAAGGATCCATGGGAATACAAGGGCTATTAATTCAATGAGCCCTGAAACAGCCTCAAAAACTCAATTTTTTTCCTTGGCATATAAATGGTGATGACTTGTACCATGGTGCACACAACAGTATTTGGCTCAAACAGAGAACCTAGAGGAAATTCAGAGCTACAAGTCTAATTAAGGCTTTGAAATATTAAAATGAGCCCTCACAAAGCTACAAGAAGGCAATCAGTTAATAATTGTCTATTCTTGGCATAAACCCTATTGAATGAAACAACACAAAAACAGCTTATATCAATGCTGATGACTGACACATATCATGCACGCAGCTAAACATTTAAGTAAATAAACGAGGGGCAAATAACAAAGAAGGTGTTCTCAGTTTTGTAAAGCAGAAATAAAAAGTTAAATAATGTCAACCACATTCCACAGATGAACAAAAATGAAACTGTCTAAAGAGAAAAGAACATTGAAAAAGTACACTGAAAACGACTTGAATCTTGAATAGACTAACCATACTTCATCCCACGACTCGATGAGGACGGAAGAAGCAGAGCCCAGGTTGCCGACGTGATGTACAATGGTGACCGGCGACCTTCCCCTGTTGTGCGAGGACGGGCAATCTTGCCCTGCTGCAATTGAGAACGAGGCGGCGGTGACGAAAGGGGCAGATGCGATGGCGAAGGATGGCGCGGCGGTGGCGACCGGCGACAATGGCACTGATGATGGAGACGATGGAGGCTATGGAATTTGGTATTGGAGGGCTATTGCGTATTGGAGACCAAGGAACAAAGCTGAAATTGCTAAGTATTGGGTTGAAAACCCTAATTTTTTATTTTTTTTTTACTAGCGAAGAAGAGCCAAAAACAAAATTTTGGTGGGAAATAAAATTTAGTGAAAGACCTCAATAGTCAATAGTGAGAGTAATAACATCTTCTATACCAATAGTGAGAGTATATATTTAAAATAAGTATAGAATTAAAATTTTGTCACTAAAGCACAAACCTTTAACTAGAGTAATTTTTTACCCTCACAAAAACTATGCAAATAATACATTTAGTGAGGGGTTTTTCTACCCGTCACTAATTTTTTGTCACTAAAAATCGTTTTTCTTGTAGTGTCACTTGAACAATTACATATATATATATATATATATATATATATATATATATATATATATATATATATATATATATATATATCGTAGGGTTTCAATGAGAACACTTGCTTAGGTGAGAACGTGATAACAAATTGTATGCATCCATCTAATACTTTTAATGGTCTAGATTAGATTAAGTGTGTGTGAATGTGAGTTTAATGTGTGCAAACACACTTAATCGCGTTTGCACACATTTAATTCACGTTCGCACACACTTAATATAATCTAGACCACTAAAAAATATTAGATGAATGCACACGATTTGGTCTCACGTTCTCACCTAATCAAGTGTTCTCATATATATATATATATATATATATATATATATATATATATATATATATATATATGATCAGGTGCGCATGTCACTTCCCGTGCGAAAATGCAGTATGTGCACTTGAAAGCTCAAAATTATGCACTTGAAGATAAAAAATGTGCACTTTAAGGTAAAAAAAATTGCATTCGAAGGCAAATAGATGTGCAATTGATGCAATTTATGGTACAAAAAAGGGAGGTTATTCAACTTAAATGTTATTAAACCAATTACCCATACAAATCGTTTGTAAATCTCACAAATTTTATTACAAATTTAGTTATATGTTATTGAAATGAATGCACAAGATATAACAAATACTGTCTAGAATTGTGCACTTGAAGGCAAAGGAACATGCACTTGAAGGCATAAAATTGACACTTGAGGCAAAAAATCTGCACCCAACTAAAAAGAAGGGTTCACTTGAATGCTAAGTTTTTTTTTTTTTTTTTTTTTTTGTGTTTTTTTTTTGTTTTTTGTTTTTTGTTTTTGTTTTTTTTTTTTTTTTTTTTTTTTTTTTGTTTTTGTGTTTTTTGTGTTTTTTTTTTTTACATAATAATGAGACACTCATACACTTGTAGGCATTAAATTGAACACTTGAAGGCATAAAGATGATCACAAGAAAGCAAAGGAGAAAAAAAAAAGGACACTAAAAGAGAAAATTCGAAAGAAATTAATTATGCACTCTTAGAAAGGAAAACATGCACTTGAAGGCTACTAAACGTGCACTTGAAGGCCAAAGGGTTTGCACTCAAAGGCACACACTCAAAGGAGAAACTAAGTACTGAAATAAAAATGATGCACTTGAAGAAGAAAAATATGCACTTGAAGAAGGAAAAATGTGCACTCGAAAAAGAAAAAAATAAGTACTCAGATACAAAAGAGAAGCTGACTTATTTACTCAAAATTACAAATATGCCACCACGCGTTTTTTTAATTAAAATTCAATTTCGGCTTTTGATTTGGATTGCATCTATGGCTGAAAATTGTCCAATTTTTTACCTGATGAGGCTTTTTTTATTAGATCCGCATACATGCATGTTGGGAATAACATTCAAATAAGTGAAGATTCTTTCCATCCATAATAAATTGTGGAGTCAGTTTTAACTCCTACAATTGTGGCCCTCTCCACCACATCTCTCCCCTCTTTTCGTGGAAATTGAATGGCTGAGAGAGGAGGAACATGTATTTCTATAGCTATAAATACCCTGATCCTCCTGAGCTCTAAACACACTTCATAATCATTCTTCTTTTCTTCTCTATATTCTCTGAGTAGTATGAGCATTTGAGTCAGGTTTGTTTGTGTCTTCTGTGTGCAACCGGTCGAAAGCATCCTCAGTATACTCCGAGAATTTGTGCTTTTAAGGTAGTGTTTACACGACACAAAATTCCTTCTATATTCCTATTCAAATCAGCCTACATAAACAACAACAAGTCATTTTTCGTCCTAAGTCCAACAGTTAAAAGCAAAAAATCTGAAATAGCTATTATCCTTTTCTGGGGAAAAATGTTATCCAAAGCTGCTTCTGATTTTGCAAAGCTCTAGCCACTTGACGGTATCAACTATCGTCGCTGGGCAGTCAAAATGATGATTTATTTTGAGTCTGTTGAACTGGAGTACGTTCTAGCGGCTCAGCGTGAATCCAAGATTGCCGAGTCCTCTCAACCTGCAACAGAAGGCGACACCACTAATCCAAATACCTCTGATCCGAAGTCGGGATCATCTGAAACAACTGACAAGTCCCAAGGAGTTCGTAACAAGTACGAACGGAATAACAAATCCGTCCGAGGCACTTTGCTGCAACATATAGCTGACAATCTGTTAGACATATATGTAAAGTATCGGTCTGCGAAGGAAATTTGGTACATGTTGAAGAAGAAGTATGGAGCAGACGATGCGGGACGCAGAAAATACACAGTTGGGCGCTGACTCAACTACAAGATGGTGGACTCGAAACCAATCATAGAGCAAGTGCACAAGTATGAAAACCTTGTATCTAACTTAGAGGCCGAAGGGATTCCGGTAAGTATTATGGTTCAAACTTATGCGTTACTTGAGAAACTACCGGAATCTTGGGGAGAATTCCAAAACAAGATTAAGCACGAGTCCAAGGACTATTCTTGGGAGTAAATGGTCAACCACATTAACATCGAGAGTGCGTATCGCCAAAGGTCTGTTTCTCTTTCTAATGATTTGAAAGCTAACATGGTTGAGCCCAGTGGTGTGAAAAATGATAGGGCTAAGTCTGGCTTTGGAGGCCAAAACAAAAGTTGGAAGAAGGGTTTCAAGGTGAACAGAGTCAACAACAAGTTTAAGAACAACAAGAACCAGAAACAAGGAAAAGGAAGACAATGCTTCGTTTGTGGGAAGCCTGGACATCGGGCAGCCCAGTGTTATCACCGAAAGGGAGCGAACGACGAGAGGTCTAACCAACAAGAGGACAAAAACAAAGCAAACCTGGTGGAAGAAGCTGAAGTTGTGGCGGCTGTGATAACCTTGGAAGCAAATGTCGTGCAAGGAACTGAGGAGTGGATAGTTGACACTGGAGCAACACACCATTTCTGCGCCAATAGAAGAATGTTAAGAGATTTTCAGGGATTCACTGAGGGACAAGGAGAACAAGTATACATGGGGAATGACACTACGTCTGAGGTAAGATGTAGTGGAACTCTAGAGATTAAACTTAACTCTGGAAAGTACTTGTTTCTGTCCAATGCTATGTATGTTCCCTCTCTTCGTAGAAACTTGGTCTCTGGACCCTTGTTGGTCAGAGCTGGGATCAAACTTGTGTTTGAGTCTGAGAGAATGGTTATGTCTATTAGGGGGGAATTTCTGGGGAAAGCTTATTTGCGTGGGGGGTTGTTTGTTTTACCCCTCATTGCATACACTTCTGCAAACATTACTACATTTATGAATAATCTTGCCAGTTGCTCTGGCGGTTCTGCATATATTGCTGTTTCAATTAATATATGGCATGCTAAATTAGGACATTTTGGTTCTAGATGCATGAGTAGGCTAAAAACCATGAATATGCTTCCTAACCTGCAAAGTGAATTGCTTTCCCAATGTGAAGTATGTGCAGAGGCAAAATTAGTTAAAAAAAACCCTTTGTCACTGCAAAGCATCATACTACGTGTGCCTTATAGTTAATTCACACCGATATAGCTGATTTTAAGAGTACTGAGACTAAAGGTGGAAAATGATATTTATTTCATTTATAGATGATTTCACCCGTTTTACAAAAATATATCTGCTTAGGACAAAAGATGAAGCAGAACAAAAGTTTATGATCTATAAAATTGAAGTAGAAAATCAGCTAGAGAAAAGGATCAAAAGACTCAGATCCGACAGAGGTGGGGAATATGAGTCCATATCTCTTAGGTGCTTTTGTGAGAAACATGGAATTATCCATGAAGTAACTGCGCCGTACTCACCTAAACAAAATGGCATTGCTGAGAGAAAAAATAGAACTCTCAAAGAAATGATAAATGCTTTCTTGATTAGCTCTGGCGCCCCAACCTCCCTATGGGGGGAAGCAGCCCTCACAGCTAATCACATTCTAAATAGGCTGCATCACAAAGGGTATGAAAAAACCCCTTACGAGCTATGGATAGGTTATAGTCCTAACCTGAAATACTTCAAGGTGTGGTGGGGGTTCTTAGCGAAAGTAGGCCTTTCGTCCTTGAAGAGACCTAACATTGGGTCTAAAACTCAAGATGCAGTTTTTGTGGGGTATGCAGCAAAATAGTGCTACATATAGGTTCATGTACCTTGACAGCCGCTCTATGTGCGAGGCACGAGAGGCTGAGTTCTTTGAGAATATCTTCCCACTAAAACAATCTCCAAATAACTCTCAAAGAGTCAACTCATGTCTGCTTACTCCTTCTCAAATCGAGAACGAGATAGAGGAGCCAAGGAGAAGCAAGAGGCAGAGGACTGAAACAAACTTTGGGCCTGATTTCATTACATACATATCTGAGTTGAATGATGTTAATGAACTTTCTGACCAATTCGTTTGTTAGTTAATCTTAGAAGAAGAGCCAAAGTCGCTTGAGGCGGTCGTGGTCTATGTAGATGCTGCATTTTGGAAAGAAGCCATTCAAAGTGAACTAGACTCAATTAAGTCCAATCACACTTGGGAAGTAGTAGATTTATCCAAAGGAACCAAACCAATTGGCTGCAAGTGTATCTTTAAACGAAAACTAAGACTCGATGGGTCAATCGAAAGGTTCAAGGCTAGACTTGTAGCAAAGGGGTATAAACAGAATTTGGTGAAGACTAGTTCTGCACTTACTCCCCCGTGACGAAGATAGCCACAATTTGTGTGCTATTTGCCTTAGCATCTACTTACAACTGGCTAGTTCATCAAATGGATGTGAAAACAACTTTTCTAAATGGGGATTTAGAGGAAGAGATATACATGGAGCAACCACCTGAGTGTATTGAGCCAGGACAAGAGAAAAAGGTATGTAGACTAATAAAGTCTTTATACAGGCTAAAACAAGCCCCCAAACAGTGGTATGAAAAGTTTCATAAAAAACTAGTAGATCTGGGCTACTCGCTAAACAGATCAGATGCCTGTCTATACTCAAAAGAGATAGACTCAAGCAGTGTACTTATATGCATCTATGTAGATGATATGTTGATTTTCAGTGCAAGTCTAGATGCAATAAGAGAGACTAAAGAATCTCTACGCGGTAGATTCGACATGAAAGATATGGGGGAAGCCGATGTGATACTCGGTGTGAAAGTAGACCTGGCAATTATGGACACGACCCGTTAACACGACACAAAACTGGACACGAAAATAACGGGTTAGTGTTTAGCCTTAACGTGTCCCGAGTCGTTAACGAGTTGAACCGTTAAGGACCCGTTATGTTTCGTGTCTTAACGGGTCAACCCGTTAAACCTATTAAGAACCCGTTTAACCCGTTAATATTATCGTGTTAACCCGTTAACACGAACCCGTTTACTAAACCTGTTTGTAACCCGCTAAGAACCATTGTCATTTAGGTAAGAACCATGGTCATGAATGAGATTAGAAAAGATATTATGAACATGACTAAGGATGAATTTACTACATTAGGCCAAGATCCTACACCATTCAACAATTTGAAATTTGAATTTTTATTGTGTTGAATTTGATTCTAAAAACTAGTATGGACTCCTTTAATTATGATTTTTGGATGTTATTTTATCATTTTATTAATGTTATGGATTGAATATTTTTTAGTTTGTTTGATGGATTGAATTGTAGGTTTTATTTCTTTTTTATAGAACTTAACTTTAAGTTTTAGTTTTTTTTTTTTTTTAAAATATATTAATAGAAATAGCGGGTTTAAACTGGTTTCGTGTCATATCGTGTCGACACGACTTGAAACCTGTTAACAAAACGTGTCTATCGTGTCAACCCGTTTAACCCGTTAAGAAATCGTGTTCGTGTTAAAAATTTAAACCCCTTAACCATAACGTGTCGTGTCCGTGTTTAGCCTTATCGTGTTCGTGTCGTTATCGTGTCGACCCGTTAACGGACCCGTATACACGAATTGCCAGGTCTAAGTAAAAGTCATAAAAAATGAAGAAGGCTACAAGTTATCACAAAATCACTACACAGAGAAGCTATTAAGAAAATTCGATAGCTTCGAAGTGACTCCGACACAAACCCCATATGATCCGAGTATGAAACTTTCAAAAAACACAGAGACAGGTGTAACACCCAACTTTTCTTAAACTTAATTACCGATCTAAAACCAAAATCAAGAGAAACTACGCAACGGATAAACAATCTTAAATAACAAACTAGTGGGAATGTCACCGCCACAACCACCTCCCCACAGTGATTGCACAGGCTAAGGATAGAACCAAATCATTAAGTCGAACTAACATTGGAATTACTTAATTTAAAGTCATAAGGGGGAAAAACATCCCGATGTCTATCACCAAACATACATAACATAATTCTACAATCCATCATCAAAACATAATAATGATAAAAAGAGTTTAGACTACTAGATCTACTAAGCTAGTCTAACTCGATCAACTCTCAAACGCTGGGCCCACCTGAAAGGGGTTTTGCAAAACAACAAGTAGACAAGTAGAAAACACCTTTTAGCATGAAGCTAAGTATAACCACACTCCACCCTGTAAAGTACTACAGTATATACTTTGGAAAAACATTTGTTCACAAACTCGAATCAAGCAATCTCAACACTTAGACAACTTTAAGATAAACCACAGACTTTCTATATGCTCGTAATGTGACACCCCGAAATCCAAAACCAATTAAGGGATTAATTAAGTAATTAATCCTATTTTAATTTGTAATTTAATTCCTTAAATTCCTGAAATTCAATAGTTGGGGGACTAGTATTTGACTAGTCAACTCCAAAGTCAAGTTGTACCTTGAGCTTTGAAGGGAGTTCCCTTGTTCCTTACACTTTCTAAAGTTAGTAAGGGTATTCTTGACCTTTCACCAAGTGTTAGTATTGTAACCTAACCTAGAAGACATCTTCATTTCACCCCTTTTACACTTTCTAAAATATTAGCTCTACCTTCTCTCTAGAAAGGTGAGTAGCTTTTCCTTCAAGCTAAGTTGAGACCTTGTCAAGACTTCATGATTTGCTTCCAAGATTCAACCTTTCACCTATTTGGGCATCTAGGAGGGTAAGATCTAAGTCCATCTTGTGTTTTTGGTTCCATCTTAGATGTCTTTTTCTTAAAAGTAGGATCTTTATGATCTTTTGGTTTGTTCTTGAAGTGGGTTTGGAAGGGAAGCCTAGTGAGGAGCTTGTTGAGGTGTAAAGTGAAGTCTTTTAGTCTACAAGAGGTAACCCATGCTCTACAAAACCTATTTTGCTTACCTATATGTGATTTCTTGGATTCTACATGTGTTTTGCTATGAAATGTGAGTGTTGATGCATGATCATGTGAAAATGCATATCTAGAGCTTGTGTTTAGGGTTCTTGTGTGCCATTGCCTGGCATTTCCTTTGATTCAAGTCATTTTGTTGTATTTTGTGAGATTTGGCATGTTTTGGACTTGAACTTGAGTTGGAGATGAAAAATCCGCGAAGTGTGTTTTGGTGGTACAGGTGGTACCCGCGGGCGGAACGGCGGGTAGGAGGCCCACCCGCCGCCCACCCGCGGGGTACAATGTCAGTATAGGACTGTACCCGCGGGCAGGACCACGGGTAGGGGCCTACCCGTGGGCCCACCCGCGGGTACGTGATGTTGGTTGTTAGGGATTTGTTCCCCGTGATTCTTTTGACTCGGTATTTGGTCTTTTGACTTCCCGTTGTTCTTTTGTGGGACTATTTGAGTGTCATTTTTGATGTTTCGTATGTCTAGAACTATGTGGTAGGTATCCATGTAGGCCTTTGGTGTCTTGAATCATGCTAAGTGTTCAACATTGTGTTTCGTTGAACCGTGGTGAGTCTTGTGTGTTCTTCGGAACTACGTTTGGTTTACCCATTTGATAAGCATGCTAGTTTGTTGTTTAAATGCTAGCGTGTGTGTTGTTTGTACCTTCCGTTTGGTTGATGATAACTTGTGTTATTCATTGTTGTTGTTGGGGCTGTGACCTATTCCTTGATTGAGTATGGTTTCATATCTTCGTTGTGATCCGTTGATTGATTCCTGTTGTGGTGTGATGCGGGTGTGGCTTTACCTGGATTGCACGATTAGTGGTATGGGACACTAGTCACCAATGTATTGCAGCGGTCCTCGTGGTGGCCGTGACGTGATTATGGAGTTGTGGCCTTTGTGTAAGGTTCACGTTTTATGGGGGATAACATGTGTTATCCGGGCATGTGTGCCATGTGTGTACGGTACCTTGTGTACTATGAATTGGTGGTCTCGTTGGTGGTCGTTGGTGGGGGACGACGGTCCCGGGGGAATAAGGTTGGACTTGGTTGTACAGGGGTCCTGGAGGTAATGGTTGGAAGAAGATATAAGGTTGGGGGTAGCCATAAGGTTGGAACAGGGCATAAGGAAGGCATATCAACTCGTGATGGGTGATGTCACGAGGGCTTGTGTAGTCATTGTTTTGAGTTCTCTTTCTTGTGACGTGTGTAGTCACATGGGCATGTGTTGCCATCGGTCTTATCTTTATCCTTTGTGGTTTTGGGATGTGTTCCCGTATCTTTGTTGAGAGTGTTGAGCCTTGTGTTGACTATTGCTCTTGGTTTTGTACTTATATACTTATGTATTATGTTTTGAAAATGGCTTTACAACTTATATTTTATCTATGTATGATATTTCACATGTATTGGTGGGTTACCAGCATCATTCGCTGACCGGGCGTCGTCCCATGTTTATCTTTGTGATCTTTCAGGTGATGTTTAGACGAGCCGATGTCTAGTGCCTGGTAGTTTAGTGCCTTTCCTTTGTTTTGGCCTGCGAGCCGATGTAATGATAGACTTATGGCTTTTGGGATAGTTGTGTACACAATGCAGATTTGACCGCCGTAGCGTTTATCATTGTTGGTAAACGTGGCATAACACCCCTGTTTGGATTTGCTTTTATCCAGTTACCTTTTATCTTCCGTTGTGCTAGTATTTTGTTGTGTTATCTGCATGTGTTAAGGCTGTTGTTTTAGCTTGTTTTAGGGGGGGGGGGGGTTACACACAACCTATAATATCAACAGACATGCTTTAACGATAAATAACTCATCAACATAATCACTCCAACACATATTTCTCATAACAAAACTCGTCATAACAAACTCGTGCTATCAAGCAATTGCATACTATTAATCAATAAGAAATTATTCTCATGCTTTCAAGTTCTCATCATGCAAATTAGATATATAAGACATCAAAATGCAACTAAAGCAATCATACTCAATATACAATCCTGGTTATTCGTTCTCATTATGCAATCTAGTGCAAACATTCTCATTATGCAATCTAGTGCAAACATTCTCATAATGCAATCTTGTGCAACGTACTCATAATGCAATCTCGTGCAATACTATAAGTATACTTATATGCTCGTTTGTAAAATAGAATACTTTTCTGTAGAGGTCTCTTAGAGCTACTAGGACTCGCTTGCTTTCTTTTCTTAGAGTCGCAATGACCTGCTTTCTTTCTTTTCTTAGAGTCGCAATGACTCGCTTTCTTAGAGTCGCAATGACTCGCTTGCTTTCTTTACTAATGGATGAGGTAGGAACTTCACCGTAGCGTGGACGAACCTATCCCGGTACGGCTTCTAGCCGACCTATACTCAAGCTCATCCACTGAACCACTCTCTTGGTTCTAAACTCATCTCTATGGAATCAAGTATCGAACTTTTAGCGTGCACACCCCCTAACCAGGATTCCAAGCCTGGCGGGCAGTTTCCAACCTCGTAACGTGGGAATACGCCGCGTTACAAATACTTGGACCGCAATGTCCATTTCTTTCTTCCGAGAGGACGTAGTCCAAACGGGTCCTCCAATACAAGATTTTCCTCACCATAGATATATATAGATATATCGCTCATGCATCTCATATATGCAGCATTTAACTTATGCAAAAGACATGCACATACTTCTCCATTCATTCTCAAAAGGCAAGATAAAGATGCTCTACATGGAAATGAGATTTTTGGAGAATAATACTTAGGCTCACGTTGGCCACTTATGCACTTTTAAAACATGATATACTTGGAATGCAATTTACTGTACAACATGCTTCAAATTTATATATCACAGTGATCTCTCAAGAACACACAATCATGTTTGGTTTGCAATATATCAAACTCTGTATACTTTCACAATAATAAGAAACTATAATTTCCATTGAGCATAAAACACATTCTAGTCATGCTTCTCTAACAATTCTCATTCACAAAATGTTCATGCTTCTCTATTCAACTACCCAAATATTATCAGGAAAGCAAAAACAAGCAAAATCCTAAAACAGAGAACTCAGACAACATTTCTGTGAAGCATTCCATCACAAATTCTACTATAACATGCTCATTTCCAATCCAAATTCAATGAAATCAAAGCCCAAACGTGCGTCAAGACAGCCCCGAGGTATCGAGCCATAAGGGTCCGTGACACCTGGTCCGAAACGACACGTAGCTGAGCCACAAGGGCTTGGCCGCTGCACATGGAGCAACTCATGGACCATGGGGCGGGGCTCAGCAAGGCCCGCCCCCTCATGCCGCTAGCTTGCCGGCTCTAGGCAACGGCCCTCTCCTAGGGCCATTCCCTAGGGCCGGTGCATTGTCTGGTGCACACTGCCTGTGCACTAGATGATCTCTTCTCAGACAATTCTAACACATCCAAAACATCGACAACACATCATAGACAAGTAATAAATCACTTCTTAGCTCAAACACTTCAAAAATCTATCATTTCTACTCATTTTTACCTATGAAACAAGGCTTCACAGAGCCAAAACTTAAAAGTGGGAGTCCATGGGGTTATACACTTTATAGATCAAAAGTTCTTAGTAAAATCTTTCTAGGGATACATAGTATTTCCCAAAATATACGATGTTAATAACCAAGTAGCTTTAGGAAAAGATAGCATAAGTTTCAAATATCTTTATAATCAAATATACACCTCATACATAGTTATATATGTATATATTCTCAAAATCAAGTATGATATTTCCCAAAACATGTATACTCATATATATAATTCTTGAAATAGAGCTTTCTTGACAAATCATAGCTTTTGGGAGATCAAAATCCTTCTCAACATATTTATGATTTTCTTATGAAAATACTTTTATATATAAATAATCCTTCAATCCCAAATAATATCCTATATAAACCAAGATAATTTCTTAAAGGTTGAAGTTGCATAAGTGGAAGGGATTCTAATTATTAATCAAGAGGTTGGGGATTTAAATCCCACTTTAAACAATTTTCTACAGCATAACATATCAACTAAAGCTTAAAACATAAATTACCAATTATGGGAATTGATCCTAGGCCTTTTCTCTTACTCATTGGTACACCTACCAATGAGCTACCACAAACTATAGTGATAGATTTTGTCAAGATCCGTTACTATAGTCCGTTAGCTCCCAGAAAGGTTCCCTGCTACTGCTTTCCTATTAACAATTAAATAGATAAACACTTCTCCAAAATCACATAGCAAGATGACAACAAATAACATATATTTCATCACCTTAAACACTCAAATGCTCAATACATAAGTATAAACCCACTAGAACAAATAAATCACATATTTTAGGGCAAAAATACTAGAGTTGGGAATCCATGGGTTATACCTCAAGCTTCAACCTCAAGAATCCTTCCATTTCCAATCACAAGCTAGGTCCTCCTCTATACCATCTCCATTTCTCAAGCAAGCCACCACAATACCCAAAAACACATCTAAGCTTAGATAATCTCATCTTACAAATAAGCTAACCAAAGGAAATGGGAGAAGATATCTTACCTAGTCTTGAAACCTAAGCTCGGGAAGAAGAAGAAGCTCCAAAAATGAAGAAGATGAAGATGTTGGAGAAATAGAGAGAATGACACAAGAGAGAAATGAGAGAATAGCTGCTGATTTTGGTGGAATGAATAGTGCAACAAGGAGAAAACTATCTCTTATACTTAGGGTTTGGGGCAAAAATGTAAAGATATAATTTTAGGGTTCACCTTGTATCATGGACCAAGAGCTAGAATTCAAGATTTAAAATAGTTTGGGGTTAAGATAATTTTTCGAAAAATGATTCTTAGATAAATACTTGATTTAGGCTTCTCAGATTCCTTCTGGTTTCACTCAGATTGACTTTTGGGTCAAAAAAAACTTGGTACGCAATGTACCCAAAAATCAAGGATTTTAGATTTAAAATAAGTCTCGGTGTTGAATTTACTTAAAAGTGCCTCAAAATAATTTATTGAAACACCGATCTCATCGCAAAAATTTTTATAGAGTGAAAAATGACTATTTCGGAATTTCTTAAAATCGAATTTATAAAATTAAATTTGGGTTGTCACAACAGGTGTCTCTCAAAAAGAGTATGCGAAAATCATTGGAAGTCTGATGTTCTTGATGAAC